ATGGGTGTACTCCTCGCACACTGTCCAGTTCATATTTGCCATTAGCGACGTACTGCAGAAAGTAACGTCGATAATGGATTCCCTACCATCTTTGCGGAAGGTGCTGATGGTTCCTTCGTTGGCCAGACTGACGTTCAACTTTGCCAGAGCTTCCAGCAGGCTATACCCTCTTGCGTTGGTACATCTGCTCCCCCAATCCACTGCCCAAGCATTGAAGTCTCCTGCGATGACGACTGGTCTCCGTCCAATGAGCTCTTCGGTGAGCCCATCTAGCATCTGGTGGAACTGCTCAATTGTCCATCTCGGGGGTGCGTAGCAACTACATACAAAGATTCCATTGATTTTGGCGATCACGAAACCTTCATATGAGCTTGCCACCACTTGTTGTATGGGATACCTGCCCATGACTTGTATGGCCGCCATTCCTGCTCTATCCGCCACCCAGTTACCATTATCGAGAGGGACTCGGTATGGCTCTGCAATGATTGCAACGTCGCACTTTGTTTCCGTTGTTGACTGCCACAACAGTTGCTGTGCTGTGTTACAATGATTGAGATTTATTTGGGTTACCTTCATTATTGCTGGCCCACCATCGCCTTCTTGAACTCAGGGCACCTGAAACTTCCCGTCACATGGCCATTTCCGTCCTCCTTTTTGCAGAGCATGCACCTCGGTTGCTTTGTACAGTCTTTTGCAACGTGCCCCTTCTCTCCGCATTTCCTGCACAGATCAGATCTGTCAGGGCCTTTGCAGTGTCTCGCCTGGTGACCGAAGCCCATGCATTTGTAGCATCTCTCCATTTTCTTAGATACCCGAGGAATAGCTTTCAACGGGCACACTGACCACCCAACCTTGATTCGGCCAGTCTTCAGCAGCTCGTTAGCTGCGTCCGAAGAAAGTCGTATCGACGCCGTCTGCGTGCCACCATACGCCTTTCTCAACCGAATTGCCATCGGTACGTCTCCCAGGTTGCATTGCACCTTCAGCGCACTTTTCAACTCGTCTCCTGTTGTGATCTCGTCCAGATCCCTGCACTCGACCACTGACTCCTGGGATAAGGCTCTTACGTTCGCCGTCTCGCCAAGAGATTTTTCGACGAGCTCCTTAAAAGCTGAGCTCTTAACCGTAGGGTCCCTTTTCAGCTCGAATAGCATCTCGCCTTTCTGGGTTCGCCTGGTTTTCACCACATTCTCGCCTAGTTGTTTCAACTCCGGATCCTCTCTCACTTTCCGGAGGAGTGCTGCGTAGGACGTTTTGTCCTTCGCCTCAACAACCAGAGCGTCACCCTTGCTTCTCTCCCTACGAGGCCTAGGCTTCTCCTTATTCTTCCTGTCTTCCTTCTTCTTCTCTTCCTTCTTCCTTGCTTCTTCTTCCTTCCTCCTCGCTTCCTCTTCCTTCTTCCTCACTTCATCTTCCTTCTGTTTTTTCTTCCTCTCCTTCTGGTTCTCGACTTTACGCCACGCACCATTTTCTCCCATCTCCTTGATGCCTTCCTCGTCGTCCCTGCGTTTTTTGGGCTCCTCCTCATCTCCTGGCGTGTCCCTATCTCTCTTTTCAGGACGTGGATTTGTGGGTCCCTTCGGAGTCTCATGTGCTTGAGCCAGTCTTATGCTCTCCTTGGCCTCCAGCAGAGCCTTTTCGGCATTTTCGGCCCTTTTTCTCCACTCTTGACATTCCCGATCTGCCACTGTTATGCCGGATTTGATACCGGTCACAAGTTGCTTGATCTCTTTGTGTACGTTGTTTTTATCCTTCACGAACACATAGAGATCATCGATCTTCCTCCTGACCTCCGTCATTTTGGTTCTCCCGAGCTGCAGTTCTTGGGATTTGCTACTACTGGATATTGGTGTGAATATCTGGCTTAGCCCAACGCCTGGCTGCTCTTCTTGAAACTTACTGCTGCTGCTGGAACTCGCAAGGTCTGTCTGTCTGTCTGTCTGTCTGTCTGTCTGTCTGTCTGTCTGTCTGTCTGTCTGTCTGTCTGTCTGTCTGTCTGTCTGTCTGTCTGTCTGTCTGTCTGTCTGTCTGTCTGTCTGTCTGTCTGTCTGTCTGTCTGTCTGTCTGTCTGTCTGTCTGTCTGTCTGTCTGTCTGTCTGTCTGTCTGTCTGTCTGTCTGTCTGTCTGTCTGTCTGTCTGTCTGTCTGTCTGTCTGTCTGTCTGTCTGTCTGTCTGTCTGTCTGTCTGTCTGTCTGTCTGTCTGTCTGTCTGTCTGTCTGTCTGTCTGTCTGTCTGTCTGTCTGTCTGTCTGTCTGTCTGTCTGTCTGTCTGTCTGTTTTTCTGCAGGGGTTTTTTGGCCGGGAAAGGTTCTTATAATGGTTCGAGACCCCTTCCCCCTCTGTAAAGGGGGACTGCCATACAAATGAAACAGAAATTTCTGCGTAACTCGAGAACTAATCAAGCAAATGGAACCAAATTTGGCATGTGGAGGATAATAGGGGGGCTACGTACAATATAGTATGCTTTTTTTAATCGTCGCATAAACTCAAGCTAATATTGAATCGTGAGCAAAGCCGGGCACACTCAGCTAGTATCAAATTGAAGGCAATTAAAATACTAATTTGAAAAATATAATAATATTGAAAAATTTTAATCGCGGTTTGGAAAATATTAACTGTACATTTGTTTAAGTTTTTCATGGTTTGCAGACAGAGGGTGCAATATGTTTTTTTAAATTTATTCTTACACAACAAATAAAAACAACAAGATTGGGGTTTTTGTTCAATATTCTAATGCGACTAGACTATCAGCGTCTCCATTGATTTATAGCGACTATAACATGGTCACTACGCATGATATTCTAGTAGCATAGGATTATTGAGCGAAAACCCAAAACTTTATAACTTCAAATATATATAACTCAAAACCGAAAACATCGCTGATTGTTTTTATATGTTTTATAAAAAGCCTACTTTTTCAAGGAAACATATAAAAAAAAACATATTGCGTCCTCTGTCAACAAACATAATAACTAGAAAAATCATATACAATCAAAGTTTTTCAATACAAAATCCCATTTTTTCAAAATCATTATATTTTTCTAAGAAGGATTTTTAATTGCCTTTCATTTGATGTTTCGATCTTTTTGTCATTTAAAAAATGATTTTTTGGAACACCCTTACATGGAAATGGTCACCCTAATGAAAAAATAAAAAAAAATACGGGTCTAATATTTTGCAATAAGGAACACAACTTCAAATGTTTACGAAATTATGCGAACCACTATTTCGTTCTGCTATGGAATAATTAGTATTAGTACTACTTCTGGGAAATTCAAATTCAAACAACTTCGTGGAGCTTCAAGAAAGTAAAGCAACACAAATTGTACAATGATTTTTGTAGTAGTGCAGTGAACTCAGTAGCAGTACGAGAAACTTCATAAAAAACCAAAAAAGTGCAGAGAATTTCTTTAAAACTCATCTAACTTATTTGAAGATTAGAAGCTTAGAAAACTTCATAGAAACGCAGGATTTTTTTTGAATAGTTCGGATAACTTCTTAGGACTTCAGGGAACTTCGTATCAGTTTTTCAGGGATCTTACTCCTTCTGAACTTCCTGGAAGTTTAAAAAAAATCCGTTTAATTTCAGTGACCTACCCAGATGTTCAAGAATATTCTTACAAAATGTTGAAGGTCTTCCCGTATGTTGGAAGAATTTCATAGGTGTTCTGAAATATTATTAAAATTAAGAGAGCTTAGCAACATATGTCACTTGAATGAAGTTTCGGAAGAAAAATATATTCACAGAATTCCCTTCAAAATGAAGACATGTTTTCAAATTTCGCATATCTGAGGTGAGTAGCACGATGAAACAACAAGGACTTGGACTAGTGATTCCCTTTTGAAAAATAATGATTTTCAAGTTACAGGTTATGGTATAATTAATTGGTTACTGCCATAAAACAATTTGGAGAGTTCTTTCTATATGCCCACCTTGAGTCTGATCCAACAGGAGTACAAAAACTTTGAAAACTATTTGCAATGGCCTTATAAATTACCACTATTTTAGACCTTTTTCAAATGTTAGTGTCGATATTAAGCTACAAAATGAATTTGGTGGAGTTGAAGAAAATGCCACTGTATGAAAGGCTCCTTCAAATCATAGTTTTTAGAATAGCTTTTATGGGATATTGGATTATTCCCCACTGTGCATTGGATAAACATCCGCCAGTCTACACTACATACTCTCTCATATCCACAGTTCCAAGTCGCATAGCAAAAATAACGATGATTTGATCACCGAAAAAAACATCCATATGACCTGACATCGTTGTCTTCACCTTATGACATTTTCTCAGTCACCAACAGCGCACTCGTTCAGCTTTCATTCAAAACCAAAATCTCGCCCCATCCGCTGATGCGCCCATACTCAAACCTCTCAGGGTCAACTATGGAACCAATCCAATCGAACGGCGCGCGCATGTCTGAATTAAATAAACACTACCAACTTTGATGAAGATCCTCCACCGTCAGCGCAAACCAGTTCGGCGTGATTGCCATCTTTATCCTTGAAATTGAAATGAAGACGCTGGCTGCGCTGGCTGATGCACCTTGCGCCTATCATGTGTCCTACTGATCCATCTTCATCAGCTCTCCGATTCATCATTCGATTTTTGGAGATGTTTGTGGACGTGGGCGTACTGTGCCGAAAACAATCACCGATAGAATAATGTACTGCGGTTTTGGACATGTCAAATCATTGTTCAAATGATTTATTATGGATTGAAACTCCTTGCAGCCATTTGGATCTATGTGGGCTCAACTTCTTGAGCAAAACGGTCATGATTTGCATAAATACAGCTATCTTTGCTGTGTGGCAGGCTTCTTGAATCGAACAAATAAACTTAGATGACTACTTACAAAGTATGGAGGCATCGTTTTAAATCGCTTAGAATCGACCACTACCAACCATGTGTAGGAACAACGTACGTCTCCTTCAAGTGCCATGCAACGAATTTGGTTTTGCGTTGATAAAAGCCCCGGCCGGTTCATCCTAACCTTTCAGTACGAAAAATGAAGTTTCGCTCGTCGTCGTTGGTAGTGACTAGGTGGAGTACGGCTGCGCTGCTAGTGCTAGGTTTTGCATGGATGCGCCTTGCCACCGGACAAGATCTAAGCGATCCTGACCTGCAGTCCATGCTGGTAGAATATGAAACCGAGCACATGGTGGAGAGCTATCGCTTCAAGTAAGGATTAATTGGGAACGCGGTGATGGAATTATTACTGACAGCTGCGTAACTCCGGTGGTGACCTTTTACTCTCCCACAACAGATATGCAACGGCAGATGGTCAGTTTCGAGAGGAAACAGGAATGCTGATGAATCCCGGCACGCCAGACGAGGAACTGGTGGTGGTGGGAATGTACGGCTACGAGACGGATGACGGGACCGAGGTAATGGTGATGTACGTCAGTGGGAAGAATGGATACCGAGCGAAGACAAAAACACGCAAACTGGCCGAGTCAGAACGAAAGAAAAAGTTGCTGTCGTCGCTGGTGGGATGAGTTCTCTACAGCCAAAGGCAGAATGTGAATGGTGCTTGTGATTTTTTTTTATTGCAATTTGCATCCAATAAAACCAGTATTCAATTATCCGACCAATGAGATAAGAACGTTGTTGGAAATTCCAATTGCTGGCGGGTGATCAATGGGTGTAAAAGTGTATCCATCCTTATCAGCTTTGTAACTGGCATGGAAGATTTTTCCATCTGATCCAACGTAGCTGAAGTATCCTTCCACCTGTATGTATTGATTCCCTTCCGCGTCGGTCACAAGTTTACCTTTCTCCTGGCGAATCTGACCATCGCTTGTTTCGTACCTGTTTGGAATGATTTTAAGGTGTTGGAATTGATTGTTTTATTGGAGTTATAATTGACTTACTCAAATCTGTAACCATCTTCGGTTCGCACATATTCCTGACGAATGATTGTTGCTGCCGCACTGGTTTCAATTAGAGCCGCATCGGTTATCGCAAGCATCAGTGTTGCAATAAGAAGCTTAGCATTTGAAAAACAAATTGTTAATACTTTCCACTCTAATAGCTTATGATTAACTTACCAGCTTGAAATACATCTTAAAATAGGTGAACTAACTCAAATGAACCGTTCGAACTCTGCAGCTCAGTCGAAATAATAAAGCAATACCAAACATGAATCTCATTTATGCAGCTGGTTTCATCTTACGGGCTAGTCGCAGCATCTCGATGACCAAATCGTGGAATCATTAACCTTAAGGCTGATTCGCACCTCGAGTTGGGCCGATGACGCCAATCACACACAACGATCACTGTTTTTGGTAACCTAAAATGATTGTAAGGGGGAATGGGATGCATCCGAACAACACTATGCAGATTGCATTTAAAGGGTGTTACGATCAAAATTGTGTCAATTAAGAATGCGTGTAAATTGATTTTTTTTTTAATTTCAATTAGTATAAAATACAGAAAAATATTTTCAGCTAAGCTTCCGGTTAACCAAATCCAGATTGCAAGGCCTTTCGTTTAACTCCTGCCATCATATACTGTACAGCCACTAACGAAAGATGGTAATCAGCACGGAACAATTGTATTGCTTCAGGAAAGGCAGCAGCCTTTTTTCCAGACACTCGTTCATGTAAATTTCCTGGTTGACGTAGCGAACTTCCACAGTTTCACATGCTTGAAAATGTCTACCACCTGTCCCAGGAAGCTGTTTAAAGTCTGCCTTGATGTAGGTTCCGTGCGAGTATTAGATGCGTTGCTCCTCTTGGGCGCCATTTTGATTACTGAAGTGTCAAAATCAAAATAGAGAAAGCATTCTGCATGCACACACACCGCTGTTTGCTCTGATATGATTCGTATACTTATTAAAAGCTTTATAAGCGTTGACTGTCTTCCTGATTCAGAACCAGAAGTTTGGTCTAATAACAAACTGAATAAGTGTAATTTGCACATACATTGACGCTTTAATTCGACTGTCTTCAATTGATTGAATAAAAATGCTTTATTATACGTCTTATACATGTTTTCTAGCTCCATTATTAGATTTCATTGCATTGCTTTACAATATTTATTTATTTATTTATTTATTTTATCTTTTCGAAATACATAAATCAAAATAATACAATACAATTACAACGAACATTAATCAAGTCTATAGCATAAAAAAAGTTATCCTCTTATGGTATAGAGTTGTTCGTGAATCAGGTAGAAGTCCTAGTCATGCAGTTGAACCGGAAACAAAAAATAAACAGTTAGCACAATCCTTCACGTGTACATTAAATGGACAGCTACTCACCTTCTCAGGAGTCTGCGTTGAATACGAAAGGTTTCCTCCGCACAGTTAAAGTCGAAGAACTCATAAAACTCGTTGAAACGCCCAGACATGAACCGTATTGGGTCATGCAAGCTGTAGTTCGCAGCACGAGGTCCAAGATGCAGGAAACTCCTCGACCGAAGAACTCGTTCGGGTGCGTAGATTTCGAATTCAGCCAAGATTCCTGGCGAGTCGATATCACCAATAAGTACTTTCGCCGCGAACACGGCCTGACTAATCGTCCGCCTATGTTCTAGTGTTTCAAGACCCAGGAGTTGACAACGATCTTCGTACGGCGGAAGGTTCACAGTGTCATTCCAAGGAAGGTGACGAAAGGCATACCGAACAAATTTCCTTTGAACAGATTCAATCCTCGCTATCCAAACTGCTTGATACGGGCACCATTCTACCGAGCTGAATTCCAAGATCGATCGCACTAGAGAGCAGTATAGAGCTTTTAGACAGGCAGGATCGCGAAACTCGTCAGCGATCTTGAAAATGAACCCGAGTTGCCTGTTAGCTTTCGCAATGATGCCCGAGTAATGAAGCTTGAATGTTAAGACGCAGTCCAGCGTGATTCCTAGGTCACGAACATTGTCCACACGTTGCAGAAGTTAGTGATTTATCGTATAGTTGAATGCCACTGGTTTCAGCTTGCGATGAAATGAGATAATATTACATTTTTGTACATTCAACGTGAGATAGTTTCATGAGAACCACTCTTCGAAAGTATCGATTACGTGCTGAAACCGCAAGCAATCGGCGAAGCTACGAACAATCACACAGATCTTCACATCATCCGCGTAGAACGATCGGCAACCAGTGGGGAGGATCACTCCAGCCTCATTCACAAAAATCGATAATAGCAATGGTCCCAAGTTGCTACCTTGAGGAACACCGGAGCTGTTTGTAAAATAGTCCGATTGCTCGGATTCGAATCTAACACAAAGTTCCCGATTGGTCGGATAGGACTTGAACCAACGAGTTAAACCCGAGGATACACCGAGTTTTTCAAGTTTAGCTAGCAGTATGGAGTGGTCAACCCGGTCGAATGCAGCCTTAAGATCTGTATACACAACGTCCACCTGCGCTCCAGCTTCCATACTCCATAGACTCCAAGACATAAAGAAACGAACGGAGCTAGATTTGTTGAAACTGATCTCTTGGGATAAAAACCGTGTTGGTCAGGAGAAATGTAATTTATGCAGCTAGAGAATAATGCGTCGTTGATGATGATTTCGAAAACTTTAGAGCAGGCACTGAGTGATGTAATCCCTCGGTAATTTTCGACGTTTCTCTTGTCTCCTTTCTTGTAGATCGGGAACATGAATAACGATTTCCAACGCGTAGGGAACTCCCCCTGCTGTAATGAAATATTGAACAGCTTCGAAAGCAGTGTTGTAAGCTGTGAACAGCATCGCTTCAGGATGCTTGAGGGGATACCGTCAGGGCCAGCAGCATTAGAAAATTTCAGCTTCTTGATGGCGGATTCGACGAGGTCTACTGCAACCGAGGTAATCGAAAAATTGAAACCATCACTGGGAGTGTCCCTCACCGCTTCATCAACTTGGGACAACGAAGCCGTAGTGTCATTGGAAATGCTTTTAAAATGTTCTGCCAGAAGATTACATTTCTCAAGGAAATTGCTGGCGATTCTATCACTCAGGTGAATTTCGACTGGTAGCCCCTCCTCGTTTCGTTTGGTATTCACGAATGACCAGAACTAATTTGGATTAAGCCGTAAATTAGCCTGCACACACCTTGTGTAGTTCTTGTAAAGAATGCGGTTATATGTGCGATATTCGTTGCTCGCTGTTGAAAATAATCGTTTGGTGAATGGGTTACGAGTACGACAGTATTTACGGAGGGCCTTCGATCTCAGACGCTTCAAATTCCGTAGTCGAGCATTGGACCATGCGGGTTTGATAGAGGGTCTCCTCAGTGGGACAGAATCAGTTATTGCCCGGCCAACGACCTCAGCGAAGTAGTTGACGGCTTCATCAATAGATGAACACGTGTCAAGGAGCTGCCAATCTGCCTGGGCAAGCGAGTGACTCAGCGCGACGAAATCTGCTCTACGAAAGTCGAGCTCACGTACATAAACAGGGGGATTATCGTAGCGAACAGGAACAGATAGGTTGATGGAAACTTCCAACGCAGGATGATTGGTGTCGATGCCAATCATAGGCTCTGGGGCTTCTAGAATAGAACATTCCAGTCCTGCAGCTTCGTTCGCCAGAACGAAATCAAGCAGCCGAGAGTTGCTATTCAGTATCGAGTTGATTTGCGTTAAGCCATGCAGGTTGAAACCATCAAGGAGAGCACAGCAGGATGCGGGCATGTTCGAGCGAAGAACATCAATGCTAGGAAGATCGTTTGCAGGAACGTTCCATGAGAGCCCAGACTGATTGTAGTCACCAAATATCAGAGCTATTTCTAGTCGAAAGAACACGGTACCAATCGAACTGATGTGGTTTGCAATGCTGCTCGAATCAGATTTCCGGTCTGGAGGTAGATACATAGCGCCAATACTTATTGATCTACGAGGCGTCGTTATTTTGACCCACAGCTGCTCTAGAGAAGTGCAAACTAGAGCAGGATCGATGCAGGAGCTTAGGCGTTTGGATACCGCAATCAAGACGCCTCCCCCACGCGATTTGGTACTATTCTGGTGGTTGCGGTCGTTTCGAAATACCGTGAATAGACTGCCAAATAATTGAGATGAATTAATGTGGTCATCTAGCCAGGTTTCCGTAAGAACTATGACATCGTAGTCCACTATGCATCCATGTTTTAATTGCATGCTTTGTAAATGCTTTATAAACGACTTATTAGATTCATCATTCCACAACACTGGTTCAGTCTAACAACAAGACGAAATCTGTAGAGTAGTGGTTACCGTTTCCGCTTTACAAGCAGAAGGTCGTGAGTTCAATCCCAAGCTCAACCCTTTTGATCTAGTTTAAAAATAACCGAGCATCCTTTTCTGGGAAATGGGAGAGATGAAGAGCTTGAATTGGTCTCATGTAAAACAACGATGAATGAATTAATGATTCCCACTGGACCACAGGACGATCGGGAGTGCTGATAGGTATTCAGTTTCAAACAAGCTTTTGGTGAACATTGAGCAGTCCATATGATGTATTCTAGGATAGCTCAGATGGCAAGGCAAGTGGTTGGTGATCGGTACATTGTTCGAAACCCATGCAACGGACATATGTATATGAATGTAATACATTTTCTAGTATCTGTTGCGTGCTTCGTCTGATATAATGAAAACAATCACTGAAGAAAAGACAACTCTGTTG